ACAGTTTAAGTGAACTTGTTGAAAATATTGCTAAATTTCGTGAAGCCTTCCCCGAAGGACGGTCTTGGCGACCTACTACTTGAAAGCCCTCAACTTTCGATAATTTGTGATGACCGAAATATTTTACTTTTGGACTATCCGTTCTGAGAACTAATAAATAAATGACTGCGCGTCCCGGCTTTTGTTACATAGTGTAACGGTGAAATTCTTCTGTTAGTTTCTATATTAAAAAAAATATATTTAAGAATGTATAGATATTATTGTACTTCCAAATATAATTTGTGTCATACATTTCAAAAAAATTAGTAGGTACATCGCACTGTGTAAGCTTTGATGAATATTTCACAGCAAACAAGTGCTAAAATTTAAGTACTAATTTGAACATTGTATTATACAGGGTGTCCCAGAATATCGTGTACAATGGAAGACCACAGATTCGTGGACTCAAAATACGCAGATTTAGGCAAATTCACCTATATCGGAAATCATTTCGTTTGGCCGCTAGATGACCTCAAAGTTCAAATTTTTTTAGTTTTATAAATAATTCGAATACTTCAAATTTTGCGATCTTTGCAATTGCTCTATAAAATGTCAAAATGCAGAAATACAAACTGATGATACTGATTCGGAGACTGAAAATTGATTTTTTATTAAATAAGTAGTTAAGTTTATATTTAAATGTAAATATATTTTTTTGTATTAATAAATACCTTTGATATATGCATTTTTTGTAATGTTTAATTAATTTATTTTTCATTTAAATATGATATTCATGTTATTAAATCTTATAAATAATTATATAATATACAATATTAGATGAATTTGAAAATATTTATGAGTGTTAGAAATACTAAATAGTAAAAATTGTAACAAGTAATGAATTAATAGCGTTTATTCGATTATATGCACGACAGTACTATATCTATATATAGCGATACGTAGGGGTGGCGCGTGGTCACTAGCGGCCGAAATTCAACTGCAAAAACGGGTTAAAAAAAAGGGGCGGGTTTAAAAGAAATATTACATTAAAGTATCAGTCTTGAGGATCATTTTGCGCTTTTGAACGTTCCGAAAGCTTTGGTAGGAACTGAGATATGAATTTTTAAAGTTGGCAACTTTTATCCATTTTTCGACCTTAAATCGCCCCTAGTTCGAAAAGGAAGCGTTCTACGAAAAAATTTTTTTTATTTTGCAACTTTTTTGTTAATAACAAATTACCTGCCACTCGGACATAAAGATGTTACTTAGGTTTTTTGTTCGCAATAACTGAATGCATCGATTACAAAAGGTTTCATCATGGCCTCTCGTCGTTGTCGGTGACCTTGATTTTCTAAGCATCTTTTTAGGGGTGGACCGTTCGTCTATGATACGTGATACTTGATTTTCAGAAATATTTAGGAAAAAATATATACAAAACGTTCGTAAATATGATTTGTCAAATGTACCATGTAAACAATCAGATCATTGTATTTATTTTAAGTTGATTCAAATTAATTCTAAAAGTTTTGCTAAATACCTTATTAACATTCTATGACTTCATCTAGTAGGATTTTTAGAAACACTTTTAATATTATTTTTTGGTGATTTTGTAACATTAAATTTCATATGGAAGCTTAAAAGCAGAAACACATTTTTTACCTTAGAACATTATTTATTATCAATTATTTATTTGTTTTTATGTCTAGATCTAAGAAATCATACTTTATTATCGCGATATACTTAAGCATAACAGATACAAGTAGAAAATAGTCCCATAAATAATCTTATTTGTATCTGTTTTTAATTATATAACCACCAACAACATTTATAACTATTTATTTTTATCTTACAGACACCAAATGTTCAGCGTTGGACGAGGTGGACTAAGCAGCTACCTCAGAATGGGTTGGTCACACAAATGGCAGCAGAAAATAATACACCATGACGAGAATTTTTTCATTGTAAAAACCCATATCTTTTTTTTGGTTTATTATTTCGTTAAGTTTCTTATGAATATTTGCTTCTGAATAAATAAATTTAAAAGAATAAACAATTTTTTATTATATCTTCTGTTTTTACTTCCTTTTCCTGTAATTTTTGTCGAATCAAGTCATATTAGCCAGTTGTAAGCAGATATTTAAGTAAACTAAAGAAATAACTTCATTTAAAGAAGATAAAAAAAAGGAAAACTGAAATAAAAACACGCATCCAGAAAAAAGTGTGCGTGGTGCAAAATCCAGGGCTTCCAGTGAGGTTACTTAAATCACACTTTGTCACTTTCTTTAAAAAAAAAAAACGATTACTAAAGTCACTTCTTTGCAAAATAAATAGCTCAAAGTCACTGTTCTAAGTTACAGGAATTTACGTAATAACCGACGTCCATAAAGCTTATTTTCAAATTGCGAGAAGCAATTAATTTTATTTAAAAAAAAATATGAGTGCATTTTTTTGCACTAATGAAGTCACGGCATTATTTTACAGAATTTGTACAAGGCACTTGGAACTAAGATTTTTGCGTTTAAAAAAGAACAGAGAAGCTTCTTTCAAAAATACATATACCTACGAGTTTTGATCAAAAAGTAACGAGATTTATTAATTTTCTCAGGATGTATTTAGTCTTCAATTATGTTCTATTCAAAGTAGCCCCCCTGTGATATTATATGGTTATGCCAACAGCCAACATAATTTCCAGTTTGAGAAGCACTGATGGAACCCCTCTTTAGGTATCGTCTTGGGCACTATTTGCGATTTTGCCTCTATCTTATCTATTATTGAAAAACATTGTCCTCTGAGTATCCTTTTGAGTTTGGGAAAAAAGAAAAAGACACAGGGAGCCATATCCATAGAAGGCGACATCACAACGGTGTCGTGTTTTGCCAAGATCTGTTGGATAAGCAAAGCGGTCTGGGTCGGAAGAAAACCCATGAATTGTATCTCTTGTTCTTGTCGTTTTATATGAAAAGTGTGAGTAAATGCGAAATATGGAAATAAACTCGAAACGATGCACTTCTGATAAAATCTGAGAGAGCTTGAATAAATTAGTCCTTCACATTAAATCTGATTAAATGAACAAGGCCTACCAACACATCGGTACACTATTTTGTCCCTCTATAGCTATTGCCACACAGTCGCTCAGGAAAGATTTCTTAGTCCTAAGTTTTTCCAAAATTCCGTTTTTTTTTTATATTCGGCAAGATGAGCTTATTGATGGATACAGTCACATTAATCGATAACTTTTAGCTGCAGAATATAAAATAGACGCTCCCGATGTTCATCAGGTTGTAAGGGCAACTAAATACTTTCTTTTAAATTTTGGCGGCAAGTATATGAAGTCTTGTAAATAGTATTGATGCGGAGCGATTTTTCAGCACCCACATCATTGTCATTATGGACACAAGAACCAGGCTGTTGGAGGAAAATGTAGAAAGGACAGCAATGTTGGCTTTCAACCAATAGTAAGACTACCTGATACATATATTATACGTAAGTTAAATTGAAATTGCGAAATTTTTGATTTTAGATTTTTGTTTCTGCGAAATTTGATTTTTTTTTTTGCGAAAATGACATGTCCCTAGTTATCCATCACACATTGAAAAAATATCTGAAGCTTGTGAGCCATATGGTTTCATGGTCAGAAACAGTAACGGATTTGTCCAAATAAACACGCTAAAAACTTTCTATTTTTCTTTTGCTAGATCTAAGCTGGAATATGCTGCACCGGTTTGGTACCCTCACTATAATTTATTTGTAAAAAAAGTTTGTTATATTTTAAAATAGATTGTGTATTTCCACCTATTGGTTTTCTGCAATCCAACATATTAGATCGACATTCATTGAAAAGCCTTGATTTAAGGCGTTGGTGCCACTGTGTACTATTTTTATTTAAAATATTGAATAGCCAAATTGGTTATCCAGATCTTTTGCTTCAACAACACTTTATATTTCCACGCCACATACAAATATATTTAACTATTACACAATGTGAAATTATTTTAATTTATTAGGTAATCAGTTAGATATTTTTATTCCAGCGCTACCAAAACAAAATCACTGTATTTTAACTGACGTATTGTATACTATTTATTTTTAATTGCAATTTTTAACTATTGATGCTCTCTTTTTGTATTAATAACAAAATACTTTTATAGCACGTTTTTGTGTTAATAACAATTTTATGAGTACAGCATTTACAATCAACAATTTACAAATAAGGTAACATTTATTGGACAGAAGCTATTATTGTACATCTGTTTGAATGTAGGACCACTGCAAATGGAAAAACCCTTGTAAAATCTGTGTTTTTGACCGATTTAATTTGGAATTTCTTTGAAAGATAGTACATAAAAAATTCTGTTACATCAAATAATATACGACTTCCTTTTCACTTATTAAACCCTACATTTTATTTTTTTTTTCGGTGTTAAATTTTACTAAAATTGGTTTGTTGACTATGCCACAGGAATCTGTCCATCCACGATATGATTTGTACCAAATTTCGTGAAAAAATATTCATTGCATATTGTAAAATTTATATTCCATTCTTCCTAAACGGGATTGGTTGTTAATCAATTATGGAATCAAATAAGTAACATAATAAAATAAAATACTCACTGACACGTTTTTCTTTAAAGTGCAGTTTAAAATAAAAAAAATTAAATTAAAAATTATGGTCCAATTTTTGTGTGTGTTCACGGCATATGTCATTACTGGTATAACAATATTTTTTTCTTGAAACTCGTTACAAACTATATTGAGAGGATGCAGAATCCTCTGACGTAGTCATATTTTAAATAAAAAAATTGCTATCCAATTTTTGTAAAATTTGACACTAAAAAAGTTAGAAGTACGTTTTGATAACTAAAAATAAATCCAAATCATGTGATTTTATTTTCTTTTTATATAAAATAATTGCTTTTAACTTATCATTAATTTCGTTAATCATTAGACATAACTTTTAAATTAAAAAAAATAAACACTTTTCAAAATAAAAAGGTACATCATAAATTTTCCTTTGAGCAAAGCATAATTGACAAATACAGGGTGTCAGGAAGTTCTTAAAGTAATAACGTTGATAATTGCATTGTCATATAACCAAAGAAACGGACTGTAATTCTCGAAAAAGCTGATAATATTCTCCAAATGACAGCCTTGTCGATATCGTGAACATTTCTTATTGCATCATAATAAATGAATTGCATATGAAACTATTCTAACGAATTTTGATCTCACTGATACAATTTCATATTTAAATGAATTAGTTGCGTGACTGGCCACTCAATCTTTCAATCTCGCCGCTAGCTAAACATTTATCTGAACTTGAAACTTCGACTATGTACGCTAAAAGAGTCTTTTTGGTACATTTAATCAGTCATTCGCTGAAATTACAACACCAGAGTTTTTGTGCGATAACTGATGCCTAATTAAACTCTGTTTATGCCTTGTCTGGAAAACACATTTATCGCAGTCGTACGTTGGCACCCTCGAGGGATCTTGATGTTTCAACACGTGAACCCTTAAACTGTCTTTATACCTGGTTTGAAAATCACAATCGTTACATTTAAATACACGGACATCTGAAAGTTTATACGCCGACAGCTCTGCTATAGAATTCTTGTGTATTAATCGGTGAGTTTTGAGACCCTTCTTATACTTAGTTTCATATTTACATATATCACACTTGTACATTTGGACTTCTGAGGGGTCTTTGTGCTTTAACCGATGAGTTTTTATACGACCCTTGTACATGGTTTCGTAAGTACAAGTATCACACTTGTACATTTTGATTTCCGAAGAGTCTTTATGCATTAACTCGTGTAGTTTCAAATCTCCTTTATATTTAGTTTCGAAACAACATGTATCACACTTCCACATCTGGATTTCCGAAGGGTCTTTATGCGTTAACTGGTGAGCTTTTAAACGTTGCTTGTATTTAGTTTTGAAACTGCAACTATCACACGTGTACATGTGGGTTTCCGATGGGTCTTTGTGGGTTATCTGGTGGTATTTTAAACGATGCTTATGTTTCGTTTCATAAGCACAACTGTCACATTTGTACATCTGGATTTCTGATGTGTCTTTGTGTTTTAATTGATGCGATTTTAGGTTGTTTTTAAACCTAGTTTCAAAAGTGCAAGTATCACATTTGTACATTTGAATTTCTGAGGAATCTTTGTGCTTTAACTCATGCATTTTCAGGTGACCTCTACGTTTTGATTCAAAACCACACGCATCACACTTGTACATTTGGACTTCCGAAGGGTCTTTGTGTGATAACTCGTGTACATTTAGACGACTCCTAAATTTAGTTTCATAGTCACAGGTATTACATCTGTGTATTCGTACTCCAGTAGGGTCTTTGCTTAACTGGTGGCATTTGAAATTTTTCTTACTATGTATAAGTCCCGGAGCAGCTCCCTGTTTTAGACCATCGCTTTCACATTTACTATTATATGAAGATGCCTCTTCACCTCTGTTTGTCTGAACTTCTCCTGTGTCACATTTAAGCATACATTCGTTCTTTATTTCTTCTACATCTTCATAAGTGACCTTCATTTTGTTGTCAAATGTTGCATTGTCGTATGAAGAGGGATCACTAAAAAAAATAAACCTGTACATAGTGTAACGAATATTATAAATGCAACATACATTGCAGGAGAAAAATATAGAATAAATTCATATTTCTAAAATGATGGATGAGGATGATCCCACCATATTAAGTTATTTGCGTATAGTAACGCGATTAGAATTTTTTTAAATTAATTTTTGATTTCAATAACACATTTCTAGTACTTTATTTATTCACTTATCTCTGAAAAAGGTTGGTTTAGGTTAATATCTATAGAATTGATTGAAATCGGTGTAAATGGAGTCAGTAAATCTTTAACTAATTTTAAGATAAAAAGTTCAAAAGAAAATAAGTAACAACGGCTCAGTTCTTGTGATACGGAGCGTCCAAAAAAAAAGTTTTTAGTATTTTGATTATATTTTTGTTCAATAACATGGCAATTTGACGAAATTCGGGAAACTGGAAGTACTGATGATGAGAAACTCAAATATTTACTTAGTTTTTTGTTTAGTGTTAGAGGGCGCCACATAGTGTTGTACCTGGATTTAAATAACTATAACTTTTTTGTGTCGCACAGTATATAATTTTTGACTAAACATACCTATTCTCCATTCAATTTTACGTACAAAAGGTACTCTTAGCATTTGTCGCTGAAAGCAGCCATTTTGTAAAAAAACCGGGTTTAAAGTTAAACCTCATTGGAATTTTGTTAAGTTGAATCATAAAGAATTTTTGTTGGACGCTCTCTATCTCAAGAACTAAGCGGTTGCGGATTCATGTGAATATATAATTCATTCGATTTGTAACTAGTCATATTTTGTAAAAAATTTAATTACAAAAATGTTTTTCCTCTTCCAATTTCGCCTAAAATCAACTCTTGAAAAGATACATAATTTAATAGGAAGAAAAATATGACATTTTTCGAATTTTTTTAACATATTGTGCCGCCAAAAGTTAAGCCCACGTTTTTTTATGCACATAGAAAAATTTTCATTTCTAGTGATATTTGAAAACTAAAAAACCAAAAATCTCTGTGGATATACGATTCACCCAAATATGGACTTTTTGAAACAGATACTGTCTGGACTAATAGGTAATTAAAGTTTAACTGATTATTTTAAAACATAAATTAGGTTTGCTTACATTTAGTGACATATGCCTGTTCTCATACCAATATTTAGATAATTCATTAATGAATCGAAACATTTTTTTTAAAACACAAGAAAATTGTTTTAATGTTCAATGTTCAAAAAAATGATGACTTTCAAGTAACATATCACAGTCGTACAAATGCAATGCCACTACATTAGTTTTATACAATTGGCTTAAAAAGATAACTGGTAACACTGATAGTGTACTGTTAAAACTTACCAGGTTAATTCCTGGTGACCCAGTTTACACCATCCAGTGGTGGTATACACGAGAATTTAAGTGCAGTTTGAAAAATAAATTATAACTTGTTTATTTATCTGAATTTAAAAAATAGTTTAAGATATTAGTATTCTGTGAAATAGGTACCTACTAATAAAGTGACTCCCGTTTTAAGTTATACCCTGTATAAAATAATTTGTGTTTCTATGTTTGCTTCTCTTTACATAAAAAAAATAAAATGAGTTGAAATCACATTTTCAAATTAATAGTATTATTTTCACATATCACAAATTTTTAGAAACAAATTTTTGGATTTAATTGAATTAAAAACATTGCGATGGGGTTACAGATAAAATGATTTGATAAAACTTTGAAATTTTTATAACTGCCTATCTGGGTAATACATATAAATTTTTCTCACCTTTCACAAACATTTTCTTCACATTTTATGTCAACTTCTTCAGGTTCAATCTGTGTTCCTTCAGATTTAACTGATCTTCCTTTTAATTCAACTTCACCGATTTCATTTTTAATGTATATATGATTATACCCGATCTCTGTGATTTTGTTGTCATCTGTGTACTGAATGTTCATTTCAACATCCAAACAGGTCTTTATGAAAGTATCATGAACGCTGAGTGAATCAAAACATTTCCTACAAACAACTGGATCTTCGGTGAGACCAAAATTCTACAAAAGAGTAAGTACAAATATTGGTTTAAGTTTGCAATTGGACATTTACCACTTCTGGGATGTATCTATAAATCATCTCCAACTTCACTTCATAAAATGGCACAAATCCTTCCCCGACTAACTGTAAACATAATCGACATATTTTCTGATCATCTTCCATTTTAATTGCGGGTTTGTTGTCCTGTTCGTTTAAATAAACTTCTCTTAAGTCGACAAATGACATTTTAGGATTAACATAACAAACAAGTTTGTCCTCAACGTAGAGACAAGTAGATTTAAAGTCAAATGCCGAGTACAGTTTAACAGAGCAGGTAGAACACATCACATGATTATAGTTGTTGGGGAAGTCCTGAAACATGTTTTATTGAAGAGTAATTTACATGCCTTACTTTGTACTTATTTTAAAGATGAGCTGCCTCTTAGCTTAAAATGTTAAGAATTTAATTTTTAAATGAACTTACTAAACTGAGTGAAACAGTCTTTAAAATATCTTTTGCAGATTCGTCTATCACTGTGAAATTTTCTTTATTCGGGGTATTACTGCAAAGTCCGCAAATTATTCCTTTGGAATTTTCCATTTCTTTTTTCATATTTAATTATCTCAAAAATAAGTAATATACTAACATAAGCTCACTGACCACTGACCTTTATTTACAATAGAATAGAATATCAACACAACCATAGCACAGTATGGATAATGACTAAATTTATTATAGAGATGGCTACTCAAAACTGGAACTGTTCCGTGGGAACAGGTATTTGTGGTGTTCACTATGTAACTGTTCGAGTGATAACAGGAACAGGTCCGTCCAATTGGTTCCAGCCACAGACCACCGTTCCAGACCATGTTACGCTAAAGCCCACTGCGGGACTCGCGCGCCGCGCCATTATTCTATGGCTAGAAATTGGCCTCAATGATTTGGGATCGAGGGGGATTATCCCTCTTTATCCTGCCTCATCTCGTGTAGGCCTGGACAGCCTTCGTAGGTGGGCCCCATCCGTCGTCTACCCCGACCGCAAATGCGGCCGGTGTAGGCGCTTTGTGGGACCTCCTTTTGTCCTGGCTGGGCCCCGCCGGCTAGGGCCCTTTCTTCTGGCGCTCTTCTTGCTTCGCCGGCTCGTCTGTGTAAACCCCGGGGGTAGTGTCATGTTTATGTGTGGTATGGTTGGGTAGGGTAGTGCGGCTATGCAGCCTGGGATGCGCTTTGCTAAGG